CGTTACACACACACACACACACACACACGCACGCACGCACGCACGCACGCACGCACGCGTCCCGTATTATTTAGCTCGGTTATTTTGCACACCTTGCAAATACAAGGGATTTACTTCCTCGTTGATGTTACTGCCTCTGTGTCCGCGAGCCGATGCTCGCTGTCAAGCCGGCCTCGGACGATCTTTCGAACAAATTAGCGGTAAGATAAAGCTGACAGAGATAGATCGATCCGCGCTGCCGCGCGATACGATTACATCGAGCTCTCGATAGCCCGCCTGCTCTGCCTCGATCGTAAAAGCCGGTCGATCGATATACGGTTCGATATATGGCGGTAACGATGGCGCAAACACACGTAGGACAAGCCCTCGCGCAAATGCGGATCGTTAATTAAGGAGAAGCAACAAAATAAAGATAATCAATTCCCCAATTTTCCAAGCGGGCATTCTCGGAAACGAAGCGTCCAAGCGAGAGAACCGAGAGAGGTAGAGTTTATTCCGCTCTTTTGTTTCAGTCCTTCAGTAGGAATCCTGAAGGTTTTCCTTCTACCGATTATATCGCCGTTGTATCCTTGTGTGTGTATTCACATGTGCGTGTGTGTCGAAATCAGCGTGCACGCGTCATTTCGCATGGTCGTCCTCACGATATAGTTCAATATGCGTGCATATATCGATGCGAAACAGGGGAACAGCAGGCGGGTAGAAGAGGGGGCCGTAGGCAGGCAGGCGAGCATACAAGCAGGCAGGCAGGCAGGCAGGCAGGCAAGCAGGCAGGCAGACAGGTAAAGGCAGGTAGACGCAGGTAGATAGGTGTGTCCATGCGAGAGCACCGAGTGTGGGCCAGTCCAGTTATTTGAGACGGATAAGAGGTCGAGGATGAAAGAAAAAAGTACACGAGCGCGCGCGAAGCGGATATAAGTATACGGAAGGACGAGAGGGGGAAAGGGCGATGAGAGAGAGAGAGAGAGAGAGAGAGAGAGAGACTCTCTATTGAGTCCGACAGAAATTGATAAGGCGCTACATTAATGCTGCGTGGCCGCAGCGTCCTCCTCGATGTTATCGGAGGGCGAGAGGGAGGGAGGGAGAGAAGGAAAGAGGTGGGACAGAAGAGGGTACCACTTGATGCTCCACGCGAGCGAAGAAAGAGCAGCAAATCTTTCGCTCTCTTCCCCTTTGTCTCCTCCGTCTTTATTCTCACGCCTCCGTCTTATCGCTCGTTCTCTGTGCGGTCCGAATTACTTTGTCATGCACGCAATAAAATTAGCCCGCGCGACGCGTTACTCGCTGATAAGGACGATAGCGCGACGAGATAAGCCCACATGTCGCGAGGTCGCGACGACTTTTGGAAGATCCTCTAATAGCTTCCCGCTATTAGAGCCGGAGGGCCTAGTCGTGGGAGCGATGCAGAATTAGCAAGAGGGACGCGCCTCCTCGGCTTAGCCGCGAGTTTTTACGATGACGTCGGCGGGTCGGGAACGTTGTTCGGTTCGTACGGATTTATAGCGGATAACGTACGGCCCGCCGTCGACGTAATGGATCTCTTAATTACATCGTCTCATTTTGGTGATTAGGCGATCGCCGCCCACGCGCATCTCGGAGAGTCTCGCATCCGCGCGCGTCTCTTGGTGTTGCCTAATTTATGAAAATGTATTCACCGTGAATCGTCCGAGTGGGCCGCGACGTTTTCGACGATCGGCTTTAAGTAGCGTTGCGGCTCCCGTAATGAGCGGCTGACAGCTCGAAACTAATTGCATTCAATTACAATCGTATCTATTATATCGCGATCGCGCTCGTGCTCGTGCTCGCGCGACACGCGATTATGTGCTCGTCGACGATAATGTGTTGGAGAGAGAGAACGAGATGGAATGAATATGGGTTAGGTTCACGCATACGCACGTATATTCCGTGTGAAAATATTACACTTCTTCTTAAACGTTCGAATATTCTCGCGTGAGAGTCTCGCTAGAATCGAACTCGTCGTTTCTCTTATTTGCTATTTATCTATTTATTTATTTATTTATTATGCGAGTCCTAGATATCGACACTAGATGTCGACACGCGTGTCTCATCTCTCTACATCAACTCGCAGATACGCGACCATTCGGCGAGATTTAACGAAGCCTGTTGATCGCGCATTTAATTTGAGGCTACCTATATATACTCCTACGTACGCGGATTATACGGAGTGCATAATGTGAGCGTTTTAAGAGCGGAGAAATATCTTAAAGCGAATATCGCCGCACTTAGCTTCGGCATGTCGAGCGGCCCCGTTAATTTCACTAATTAAGTTAGCGACCGACCGTCCTACCCCCGTCTCTTACACGCGTTATTCATACTTTTTTCTTTTGCGCATTAATTTCTGGCTTTCGTATTTCTGGTCGGACTTCCTCGATGCCGCCGCTGTTTTCGCTTTATTCTGCTCGTCGGCGAGCGCAAATGTTTCCGCTCTTTCATCTTGAAAAAATCGCCTCCCGAGCTCTCGTCGTGCTTTTCTTCGCTTTCAGATTTCGCGAGATTATCGAGTTAAAGTTAGCAACGATAGCGGAGATTCGCGATTCAAATAAATGCTCGACCGCGCCACTGCGCGCTTGCAAACATTCTGCGCGTCGCATTTAGGAGTCGCATAAATTCAGTGTGCAAAGATACGAAGTCGAATTACGATCGTCATTTCAGCATGATAAACTTGTAATTATTTATCGGATAGCGACGCGATATGCCTTCGTGACTTACGCGAATACTCGCATGCAATTACTAATAATTTCGCCTCCGACATCTCTCACGGTAATTCTGTAACCGCGTGTGCGTTTTATTCAGCGTGGAATTCCAGAAGCCATAACCCGCGAGACTCTCGATGATGACGGACGAGCCTCGTACAATGGCAACAAGACGGCTAACAAAGTACAAAACCGTTTTGTTGCCGTTGTAAATCACAGCGCGTTTACCAAGCTTTACTCTTCGGTTCCTCCACCTCGGCGATTTAATCCATTCGGTTAATCATGAAAAATCGTCGTCCCGCTCCATCGCGTAACGCGTGTACCCGCTGCATATTTCGTGTACAGAGCGTTTCACATCAGACTGTCGCCGAGTTGGAGCAAAGTTTTGCAGCGAGAGAGAATATTTCGATTCCGAGAGAAAATGATGTAACACTGCGAGATTCGTTCATTTCTCTCTCTCTCTCTCTCTCTCTCTCTCGTTCAACCCTTTTCTCTCTTTCCCTCTATCGGTTTCCGAGGCGTTTCGAGAAGACGCACGAACGCCTAGTGCGAGATGCGACATGCTGTATATCGCCGAGGAGATCCTCGACGTGGGACGTTTATCCCTCGGCTCGCGTTTATGGTTTTTAACGTCGAGATGACAAATATGTCGTATTTAATGATATTTATGCGAACGGATCACATTAGCTCCCGCTCACAGAACCGGGGATTATCTTGTCCCCGAGAAATATCGCTTTCGCCGTTTGTCACCGAGCAACCTGCCACGACGCGCGGCATGTCACTTGATATTAAGTTACTCCCTCGGCCGAAAATTAAGAGAGCCAAATACGGGCGCCTCTCGTATATCAAGCGCTCCTTTAAATAATTACGTGTTGCACCTCGCGTGGAATACGCGATCTTTCCTTCTTCCCCTCGTCTTTGTCGATTACCTGTGAAATGAGCCGAGTCGCGCGGATATTACTTTGTACAAGAGCTGGGAACATTTTTGAGTGCGTCTGATGTGTGTCGGGGAGATTGATCTCGATGAAATTTTCTCCGATTAAAAGCAAAAGAAATCGAGCGAGTACACTCGGAGAGAATTGGAAACGCGGTGCACGCGACAGATGAGAAAAGACACGTGTTTTCACAATGTACGCCTCGCATTAGTTTTTAACTGTACCAAGTTACGACGCGACGATCTCGGCCCTCGAACATAAGTTATTCGTGTGCTGCGTGCCCGGCATGGAGCCAGGCAGCACGACGAAACGGTAACACGAGAAACCGGACCCTACTTTGTACGGGAATGCATCCGCGATTGTGTGAGAGCGCGAACGTGTGGTAGCCCACTACCTTGCCGTTTCGCTGATTTTCATGGCGATAAAAGCGCGCTACCGCGGTACCCCGCATCTTGTGTCCGCAAAATTCTAATCGCTATAAAAATGCGCCCGAATGTCGGCGAGATGTCGGTGCTTGTTGAACCGCGGGGGAAAGTTCATTGATGACGATACGATGAAATTTTGAAAGAGAATATGTAGAGTCAATTCGGGCGGGAAATGTCGTACGAATTATCGACGGATTGCCTCTGTGCACAGGTTTCAAAATTCTATCATGATTTAACAAGTTTCCGGGTCGAGAACCTCCTCATTGTCAGGCTCGATGATTTACACGATTGAAACCTGTCTCTCGTTGTTTTACCGTTACACACGCGTTTCTATTAGTCCGCCACTGAGCGTCCCATACATAAATACGTATTATTTTTTATTTATTAGCTATATGAAATTATAGGTTACAATACGAATATTCAAGCGCGAGGTGCGCTGTTTGATTTACTAACGCGGCGGACCGTTAAAAACGTTAAAATACATGCAGCTATAGTCGTTCATATATTCGACTATCGACGATGGCCACACGAAACCGTAATCTCTTTCAGAACCCTCACGGCATATTAATTCGGTTCCGAAAACGTGTCTTCGATCATTGGAAGTACGCTCAATAATTAGGAAGAATCCGACGGTAGTATGTAAATTGATAGATCAACGATAAAGCATCGAGAGCATTCGTCCTTGGCGGAGGTCCTCGATATAAACTACGTACGAACCATCTGACAGAACGCGCGCGAGTGACGGAGTACAGCGCAGTTACAGTATTCTTCTTCCGTAATTCCGAAATATTTATCGAAGATGTTCCGACACGCACGCACACACGTGCTTCATAAAGTTGTGCAATTTTACGCGCTTGTCCAAAAGAGAGAAAGACAGACAACAGACGTTTATGATTAATGCCGTACGCGACTGACGGAACAATCCTCACCTACTACCACCACGTGGCCGAAGACCTGATCGTTGGCCACGTGGGAGCAGTTCCAACGATGATGCCTGAATTGGTGGCGACACTCGCGAAGACCCAGAGCGGCGCCCTCGCCCACCGCGGGCATCGCGTGCGGCGCTTTTCTGCACTGCTCTCGTTGACTTTTCGCCAAGCCGGGGATGCGGCCGCAGACAGCCGCGCCAACTACCACCGCTCCGACCACCCTGAAACAAAGAGAGAGAGAGCCATCGTCATACTCGGGGGAGATACTCGAGAAAATAGATTTGGCGCGCGGATAAGGCAGACGAGAGCGAGCGTATCGAAAGCGAAACGAAACATTTACGCGCGCGCTTCGTATAATACTGTCATAAATATCCCCCGGTAGTCGCGGTTGACGTGTGTGTTATGTACGAGATTTTATGTACGCGCGAGGAGGAGAAGCAGAACCCTCTCATGCGTATGAAAAATTTCACGGCCATCCGTCTTCTCTGTCCTTGTTTCGACACTTTGACGAGCAAGCTGCGAACAGCGATTAACAGGTGCTAAGAGCGATCCACCGACCAGCTGAAACTCGATAGCCGCAGCCTCCCACTGGTCCATTGCGTAATTTATATCCTACAAAGCGAGCGTCTCGCTCCTCTCTCTCTCTCTCTCTCTCTCTCTCTCTCTCTCTCTCTCTCTCTTTCTCGTCGCAAGGCCCAAGCGTTCTTACAAAACGTCCCCCGTCTACCGCATTTCAATTCCCCTCGCGCGGAGAAATTAGGAAGGAATAAAGAAATACGTGTCGGATCATATATTCGGCGAGAGAGAGAGAGAGAGAGAGAGAGAGAGAGAGAGAGAGAGAGAGAGAGAGAGAGAGAGAGAGAGAGAGAGTATCGTACAGTCCATTCGTCATCCCGCGACGAGCCATAAATATGCCTCTCATCGGGCCACTTACGATTCTGTTATTCCTTCCTGATCGCCAATGAAATATTAAGGCGCTCCGAGCGCTCGCAGGGGTGAGTTATCAAGTCGCCGACCGGCCGGTCGCGAGAAGGAGAGAGGAGAGTCCGTTACCACGGACGCGCGTTACCACGGGGAGGAGGGAGAAGGAAGGATGTAAGACGGGCAGGATTTCTGAGAAGCATGAAATTGCGACGATTACACCGCGTCCCCGGGGCGAGAGTTATTTGCATTGGAATGCATCGCGCCGCTTTCGCGGTGGCCGAATCTCTTCTCGTGGCCACGTGGTGGGACGATGCACGGGGTGTCCCGGCGGAGGACGAACGTGAGAAGAAGGGGCCCCGCGTGCCGCGAAAACGAGCCCGGGCTCCGAAATCGCCCGCGGCCAGCCGCGCGCTGCTTCTTCGTCTCCTCGTCGCGCATAAACGAGAAAGACGTGGACGCGCGAGGGGCCTGTCGTCTTCCCCTTGAAGGCGTTTCGTGCGCGTCTCGTGACTCCCCGTCGACGGGGAAGATGCAATCGCCCGCCGAGGTGAAGACGTTCCGCGTCGTTTTTCATAATAATACGACTAGCCGACTGAACGATCGCGCGCGACGCTGTGATTCCTTGCTATTCGCTGCGCTCGGCCAGCATCAGTCGCGCTGTATCGTAGTTATGGGTCGTTACGTAAAATCGCGATACCAGTTAGAGACGCGGGAGCGTTAAATGTTAACGGCCACGCTCTTCCGATTAATTAGGCGCTCGGTACGTCACTCGTTAGCCTTAATTAGACGCGGCTTGCGCCATGCCCGATACCTCGAAGGCATGTCGGCCACGGACAGCGGTCGGTGGTAGCGGTTTGTCTCATTTGTCTCCATGTCGCTCCTTACGTAAATTAAAGTATACTTTATTTTATCACGGTTCCCCCCCCCCCTCTTCACCACGTCGCTTTGCCCGGTAACGACACGTCGCTCGATTGTTTTCTTACGACATCCTTGTCTTTCGGCGGAAGAAGATCGATGATGTGGTAATTGTCTCAAGTGTTTTTTTTTTTTTTTTTTTACATGTCGCGGCGCACTCTCTCTCTCTCTCTCTCTCTCTCTTTCTCTCGTATTAATCAGATTATATGAATTATTAAAATATGTATCCCGCGCGCAAGAGTTTGCGTACCCGTGTCGTCTCTTTAGTATGCTGGCCAGGTACGAGGGAACAACCGACTCGCGTACATGCGTTCAGCAGCAATCCACACGTAGCCATTAGCGCGTAATGTATAACATTACGCCCGCCTCATACGGAGGCTAATGGTGCGCTATTTGCAACAGGGTACCGCAGCACCGTTCGCCAGCGATCGCTAAAGTCGCTGTCGGAACGATTTCAATCATGTCGCTCGCTCGGATTTTTACGCATCTCCGCCGGACGTTACCGTTATCATCCCCGTTGAAATTATGTTCGATGAGGAGAGGAAATTTCGCATGTATTTCCAACGGCGATACTCGGAGCAGAAGAGAGCTCTCTCCGTAAGAGTTGACGAAAGTCGTGATAACGCCTTGCGCGGTCGGAGCGCTCGACGTTCCGGCCGCGAATTCGAGTAATATCGATTTGCCTTTATTACGGCCAAAGATATCTGCCGTGCGATTTATTATCGTGATCAAACGCCGTGCGATACGTCGATCCTCGGTCATTTGGCAGTACCAATATTACTCCAACGACGACTTCGGGCGTACAAGAGAGCCGCGATGAAACGAGAGAGCGCGAATTCCTGCAAAAATGGGCAAATCGAGGAAAATGATCGGTCTCGCGTCGGCGATACCTCGTGTAATAAGCTGTTGATAAGCTACTGTTAAAATACCTTGGTCTCGATACCGCCGCGAAAGTCCATGTGAAATTCGACATTTTTCTCCACATTGAAAATTCCTATCGATCCGTGTGTCGTAGTAGCTCCGCGCACGAAGTATCATTAGTGACGCATTCTTCGTTCCAGACATTTCCCTCCGCGAGGGAATAATTCTCGAATATTAAGTACCGAAATATGCCTTTGCGTTTCTAATCTTGTGCGCGCACAAGTAATGCATTAGTAATCGGCCATCTTTGCGAGAACTCGTCTAATTCTCTCGATCTAATTTCCTCCGAGACTTCCTCGTTCTCTATCTCGTTGCGCATCGATTCTTACACGCCACAGTGCGACTTCTCATCGGCATTTTTCGACAGAGTGAATCACGATCCGGCGATTCATCCGCGGTCGCAACCGCAGCTCGCATTTTTCGAGAGGCTCACTTCCGTGCGGTTAGCCACGAAGATCAAAATGTACATCTGCCCTCCGCACCCTCGTATAGATGATATCGGTATGATACGTGGAAGAGCCGCGTATCGCGAACTGTCAAAACGCCGAGCTGCTTTGCGTCGATCGGAATTAAAAGTTTGGAATGTTCGAAATAATAATGCAGAAGCGGTCTCTCTTCCTCTCTCTCTCTCTCTCTCTCTCTCTCTCTCTCTCTCTCTCTCTCTCTCTCTCTCTCTCTCTCTCTTCTTTCTTCTCTCCTTCTTTCTCTCGTCGATCGTGAGGGAAGTTTCAATCCGACTATATCGTCTTCGCTCCGAGACATCCGAGCGGGTCCGGCTTGACGTAAATCCCTCGAGTGATTCGTGGCGGTAGAAGTATTTGTTAATGCTGGGTTATACGGCAGATTACGGGGACTGACGTTAGAGACGTGTAGTTGATACGGCAATCGGTAGTGCTCGCTTTGGCGCTTCGCTTCGCCTCGCTTCGATGATATCTCGATAGTGATCGCGGTGTGTGACACCGCGGGGGTTCCGCGGCGAAGAACCGGGCTATATAATACGCGACGCTGGGTGTCGCTCCGCTTGCTCGAATAACTGTAAATCTTCGTGATGCGTCGCGCGATCTTATCGGAGATATCGTCGCGAACCGCTTGTCCGCCGTGCTTGTAGAAAGAAACGGAAACTGCGGACGTTTCGTTAGCGAAGCAATAGCTATAACGAAAAAGTCACTCAGCGTTTCGATAAATTCCAGGGTTCTTTAGGCGTATTCGATTGACAGAAAGCACCACGTTCGGTAATCGCCTCGTTGCGAAAACGTATCGGGCACGTCAGTCGAAGAAAAGAAAAAAACTTGTCGCGATAATGCGCCAATTATGGACATGATGGATCGCGCTGTGTACTATTTTTTGCAAACATCACCTACATTGTGGGGATATCGAGGCATGGATAAATACCATCTGCGTGATCAATCGGGTTTATTCCAGACTATACTTAGGAAAGCGGGAGAAAGAGAGAGAGAGAGAGAGAGAGAGTGTGAGAGAGAGAGAGAGAGTGTGAGAGAGAGAGAGAGAGAGAGAGAGAGAGAGAGAGAGCGACGGCGGGGGAGGTAGAGAACGCTAGACAGTAGCAGCGGACTTAATAATTACAGAGTTCGGTACACACACACACACACACACACACGCACACGCGCGTATCCGTGTCTCTCGAGACCTCGATGCAGAGCCGGCGGCCGGCTCGATTTAATTAACGCGCCTGCTTCGAGGATCTTTTATCATTCGACTCGGTCTTTCTTGTACAGATCGCGCGTTATTTTTCGTAATGCCACTCGCGGTAAATCGCTCCGTTCCAGGATATACGGTTATATTCAGCAGGAATAGCGTGACCTTTCCAAAGTGCAAACCTAAGGATCGACGCGCCATTACGCGTTCCTGGAATTTACGTGGAATTTACCTTCGCACAATGCGCCTCATCCTGAGAGATTTCGCATGCCTTTATCTGCCATCTGCGCGGCACGGCGCGCGGCGTGCGAAAAGAGAGGAAAACGCTCCGTAAATTGTACGTTACCGGGCGGCGCGCGTTACCGAAGCCGACGCGTTTCTCCGATTCTCTTTCGTCATCGGGCACGTTCTACCGTGCGTTCTGCCAATAACGAAGCCGATACATCATCCTCTTATCTAGGCTCGCAGATGCACGACTCGCGATTGCGGCTGTGAGAGATATGTAGCGGAATCTCCCGCGTCGCGCGAGTGACATATGCGCGAGAGCGTGTAGAGAAGCGAGGGATGTGTGTCACGGGTGTCTAATGAGGTGGATGCCCCGGGGAGGATCAAGTTCGTTCTTCTTTCAACTTCTCCTTTCGATTTCTTTCTTTAAAATTTCACACCAAACCTTTCTCTCGCGACACTCGGCTACATTCTTCGCTTCGTGAAATGAATCTCTTTCTCTTTCGCCCGCGCGAGATACTACATCACCGATGATCATCGTGACGGAATTCGTTCAACCGGTACAAGCTCGCGCGTCCGG